TCTTTCTTTCTATCTTTCATCTTCCTTCTTTATTTCTTGCAAGTGAAGCCAAACCATAAAGGTTTTCTCGCGTTGAACTCGAAGCAATGTGCCAGCTCTCAAGGACGCGAAAGAACCAAGCGTGAAACTAGTCCGACCGGTACGAGAGAGTATGGCAACCACCTCCCCAACCCCCCGCCCACCATTCCTCTTCCACCCTTTTCTCCTCATCTCAAAGTATAGTAAAACGCTGAAGTAGCCGCTTTGGCGGAAGGTAGAAGAAAGAACCCGATGCGTATAACGATACCAATCTTCCATATAGTTGATTTCAAAGTTTAATCTTCATTTTTGAGGTTATACTTCTTTTGGCGCGTTTTGGAAAGTGTGAAGTTAGATGCGATCGAAAAATTCGACACCATGAAGTTGTCGATATTTACGATGCGCGCGCAAATTGAAGTTAGTTTTGAGGTTATGGAAGTTATATTCGTTTTGGTACGCTAAAGAAGTATAATTTCTTACATCAGTTTTTTTTTAATAATAATTTTATCCTTAATGCAAACTTACAAAATTTATTATAGTGTGAAACTATGAAACTGACATAAATTATATTATATTCTTTGAAAAATATGTATATATTCGTTAAAATTATCTACAATTTAGAAATACTTTCTATAATATCTTCAATAAAATATGAATATATATTTTATATTCATTATATTATACATAACAATGTGTGTGATAAAGAAAAGATAACTGATTGTGAGTAGAAGATCTAATTTTGAAATAGACCATATCGTATGTTCATCGTTTTGCACTCGTTTTCGATGTAGAACGAACGGTTCGATGAATTTTATTGACTTTCCTTAGTCGAATGTATAATAAATAATCTGAATTTTAAACTCATTGATTTAAGAAGGTTTATTAGATGATATTTCTTATCGGTGATTCAAATAGAAGTGAAATCGACTACGATAGATTAAGATTATATTTGCGAGGAGAGAAATAAGAACTATAAAAATAAAAAAATCATCATTTTACTTTCTAATGTATTACGTTTAAATATTGTTCTGTTATGTGCATACACCTACACAAACACACAGACAAGATAGGAAGTAATAATTCATAACCGGAAAAACGTATACATTTAAAATATTTAGTTGAAGTTTACAAATGCGAAATATTTCAATTTTATACACAGAAACTTATTATAGTATTTTATTAAACTATCACAAACTGGCATAAATTATATATTTTATTCTTAGAGAAATATTGAATTTAACACGAACGATAAGAACAATTATCATTATTCGCATCTGCGCAAGATCTGATAAAAATAAAATGATTGTATTTAAAACACACAAAAAGAAAGATAAATAGAAAGTCAGACGATCGATTGGAGAGTTAAATGCAAGGAAAGGAAAGGAAACCATCGTTAGCTAACTAATCATAAACTATAACTGGAAGTAAACAATTTATTACGTAATACAGAAGTCGAGACATAATAACTATAGTGAACTTCTTTGTCAGATCGTTGACAATGGACTAAAAGACACGCCTTTAACCTGGTATTCCAAGGTGTTTGTGGCTGAACGTGAACTGACTAATTACAAAACATAATAATAATAATTAAAAAGAAAAATACAAATAAAAATAAAATAAAACAATAGAAAAGAGAGAGAAGAGAAACTTCCTCAAAATCATTCGTAAAACTCATTACATTTTCAATTGTAATGTTAGGAAATTTGTCATCGTTAGAAGTTTATCGAAATGGTTGTGGGTTCTTTCGAAAAATACACACTCTTGTAAGCTATAGTTATATATATATGTCACGTCGTATTCGTCGGACCCCGAACAACGTAATTGAGTATTTCGTAATGGTGACGCTTTCACGACTCTTCCACGCACCATCTCCTCGGCCGCGTTATCGCTTACACGCGGTGAAAATATATTATCAAGGAATACTTGCAAAATATAATGGGGGATACCACTGAACGCAATCAATACACATGGTAGGAATATATATAGGTATATATCATCATTCTTTACAGATGATAGGATAACATATATATAGAATATAATAAGATAGTATACAGTATATACTATATAGATAGTAGAATAATAATATAACATAATCAATGCACATGATAAGAATATATATGTATGTTATGGTTCTTTACATGGTAGGATAACATATATACAGGATATTGTAGGATAATATAAAGTATATACT